CCTTCGGCGCCTTCACCGCCGACTCCGCCGAGAGGCCGCTCGAGCACTCGGTCCTCTCGAAGTTCGACCAGCGGAGGGCCACCACAGCCGCCTCCGCCCCCGCAGCGTCCTCCGTCCCCCCCGACGCCGATAATGTCGTCTCCCGCAGCCGCCCCCGACAAGGAGACCTTGAAACTCCTCCTCCCGCTCCGCTACGATGGCAAGACCGTCATCGAATGCAACCGGTTCCTGTCCCAGTTGCGCATCTACTGGCTGGTCAACACGTCGTTGACCACCATCGAGCTCAAGGTGCAGGTCGCACTCAGCCTACTCGATGGAGATGCCCGCGCCTGGGCCACTCCCTACTTTGCCCAGCTCGCATCGGTGCAGGTGGGTGTGCAAGGGGCCACGACCCCGTTCGCAAACGAAGCGGCCTTTGCCGCCGCCTTCAGGGCCCGCTTCGGAAATCTCGACGACGAAGCGGCAGCACAAGTAGAGCTGGCGAAGCTCTGCGCGGACAAGTCGGTCCGTGAAAAATGCACCGCCGCGGAGTTCTCCGCGCTGTTCAAGGGTCCGGCGGACCACTCTGGGTATGGGGACCTGGAGCTACGCGACAAGTACCTGAGCGGCATCCCCTCCCGCGTCTACCGCAAGATCGAGCTCGAGACCTTCGCCACGTGGCAAGCAGCTGAGAAGCGCGCCACTGAGGTCGAGCAGATCCTCGACATCAGCCGGGCCCGTCAGCCCGAGCTGAACAACTTCTTCTCGGCACGAGGTCGAGGACGCGGCGGGGCACGTGGTGGTGCACCCTCGACACACGCAGCTTCGGCCAGCATCAATGCGGCCGTCGGAAAAGGCAACTTCCCTGGCACATGCTTCGGCTGTGGGAAGCAAGGGTACCGACGCTTCGAGTGCCCCAATTGTAAGGACAAGCCTTACACAAAACGCGCCGACGCGCGGGCTACGGTTGCCTCGGGCTCCACCCAGGCGGCGACAAGCGCCCCCGTCACGACAACACCCTTGGCAAGTATAAGTGCCGCTTCAGCGAAATCCGAGCAATCGGAGCTGGCGGACTTAATGGCACAGGTGAAGTCGATGCGCGAGGAGCTCGAGCACTATCGGGCGATGAAGGAGGAGGGTTTTTGATCCGGTCCGCGCTTCGTGCCGCACGCGTCGGGCCGTATATATCCTGTAACAAGTATGATGTATTGTCTTCTGCAATGGTGTACGAGTTGGACCAGGGGTCCCAGCACTTTCACATTCCAGTAAGACTTCAAGGGAAAAGACGGCACAAGGACATAATCGCTATGGTGGACAGCGGAGCCACCACGAAGTTTATCAACAAGCGATTCGTTGAAGAGAATAAGGTGCAAACGCGGAAATTAAAAGAGCCGATTCCGCTATACAATATCGACGGCACCCTAAATAAAGACGGAAGCATCTCGGAGGTAGCAGTGCTACAAATGCACATTGGAGAACACGTCGAGAAGACGGTGTTCACGGTCACGGACATCGGTCCGGAAGATGTGATTGTCGGGTTGGACTGGCTGCGCGAGCACAACCCTGACATCGATTGGGAAAAAGGCTCCCTCAAATTATCACGATGCCCTGAGGCGTGCAGTGCCAGAAGGGCTGGCCAAATGGAGCAAGCTGCGACTGCGCGTGACACGGGGGTCAGGCCCACGGCGCGCAGGCGTTCGCCGAAGTCCAAACGGTCAGTCATAGGCGCTTGCCTGAGCAAGGTGCTCCCGGACTTCGAACCCGAAGATGATCCGGTGGAGGTAGAGTGGAGCGAAGCTGACTTGATCGAGGCCTGGGAGCAAGGTATCACGCTTCCCGGCGCCCCTCAGCTGTTCGTCGCAGCAGGGCACACATATTCCCAGCTGTTCGCTGAGGAAGAAATCAAGAAGAAGGTCGTTAAAACCGCCGAGGAGTCGGTACCTAAACAGTACCACGAGTTCCTGAATGTCTTCTCCAAGGAAGCATCAGAACGGCTGCCTGAAAGGAAGCCTTACGATCACGCGATTGAACTCGTACCCGGCTACTCGACGTTCCATTCGAAGGTGTATCCCCTGTCGAACAACGAACAAGAGGAACTGGACAAGTTCCTAAAAGAGCAGTTGGCGAAAGGCTACATACGGGAGTCGAAGTCACCCATCTCGTCCCCTTTCTTCTTCATCAAAAAGAAAGAGGGAACACTTCGACCCATGCAGGACTACCGCCGGTTGAATGCGATCACTGTTAAAAACCGCTATCCTTTGCCGCTGATCGCCGAGATGGTAGATAAGCTCCGCGGCGCCACGCTCTTCACCAAGTTCGATGTCCGATGGGGATACAACAATGTCCGGATCAAGGCCGGTGACGAATGGAAGGCGGCCTTTGTGACTAACCGGGGGCT